CAAAGCTCTGGAGCCAAGTCGACTTCTAATGCAGTGTTATCCAATCTTATCCAGGTTGGTGGCATCGTGGTTAGAATGCAGTATTGCAGGAAAACTCTGTCCATAACCTGGAGTTCGATCCTGACCGGCTCAAAGTTGATTCAGCCTTCCATTCTTCCAAGGTCGATAAAATGAGGACCCAGATGGTTGGGGGCAATATACTGACATTTTTAAATGGGTCAGAGGGTGCCAAAAATCACTACGGGGTGATATATACTGTAAGTCTAAGTGCAATTACTATTGCTATTGCTCGCCTAGCATCTGGGGAAACAGCCAAGTTTTCAAAGCTTTAATAAAAGTTAGGAAGGTGACCTTGGACCCTAGGAAACAGACAATGGCAAATGACGTCTATGCTGGGTGTGTGGATGTTATTGGTTTGTTTGGAAATGTCCCTACTCTGTTCAGAGAAAGATTGCTAAGATAACGTGAGATGGAAGCTTGTTAAAGATGTGAGATATGGTGCTGAGCAGAAGCAGGGTGCTAAAAGAACACAGAGTTATTAAATACTGCAGTGGAATCAAGGGTGGGTTCCACTTACCTTTACTACTGGTTTGTAGTGGGATCGCGCGCATGCATGAGCGAAGCTTCTGCGCATGCGCAGATCACCAATGATGACGTTGTGCCGGGTGGGCGGAGCCGCCCACCGGTTTTACTACCGGTTCTATAGAACCGGACAGAACCGGGAGCAAACTACTACTGAGTCGAATGCTCTATTTTTTTTTTTTTAAAAGTACCATATTATTTTATAAGCTGGGTGTAGGCTTCTCTCAGTCAATGTTAATGGGAACGCATTATATTTGAATTAAAATTTGAATTTTAAATTCAAATATATGCATATCAAAAAATCTCTCTTCTCTCTAAACAACTCCTTTCTCTCTGCTTTCCTTGAAGAAAAGGAAGCTATGGGAGAGAAAGATAGGAATTTCCCTTGTTCCTCAATCATAGACACTTACTTAACTAATAGGGTTAAATGAGGAACTGAGCCATTCCCCTTATCTATATCTCACCCTTTGCCCAGTGATCAAGAAGTTCATGGCTGCATAAAAATGATGCTGTCTCCAAAAGTCCTAATAATAATAATCAGCTGGGACTTGGGAGGCAGAGAATAGATGGGGGCGGGGCCAGTCAGAATTTTTACTACCGGTTCTCCGAACTACTCAAAATTTCTGCTACCGGTTCTCCAGAACTGGTCAGAACCTGCTGAAACTCACCTCTGGACTGCTCCCAAAGCATCTAAAATATATCCAGGAGTTGGCATTCATTGATGGAATGTATTTCTATGCAACAACTACAATAGTATTCAGCCAGTAGATGGCAGTGTTTACAAGTTTGGATCTATGGTATATATTCTGTGCTCTTCTGTTCCAAGTAGAGTTTCCTGTTATAGTTAAACAGCTGAGCAGTAAAGCACATGGTGATTGTACTCTTTGTTGTCTAACACCAAGAAATAGATATAAAATTATTGCATATCTCTTATTTCCAAATCTCTCAGGCAATTCAGAAGATATTATGGCCAATGGTAAAGTTGCTAAGAAGCCCCTCCCTCTTCCAAATCAACAGAGACATATTCCTCTTAACTCAAGAAAAAGATCATCCATCAGGCAACCGAAACACTCTCAAGATTGGCCCATCTTGAAAAACTGTGAAGTTGATCAACTATTTGCTCCAGGACTGCCTATCATTGAGAGGCGGCCACTTTTTCACATTAGCCAATCACAGTTGCTTATATTTCCTCATTTCTAAGGAATCTCCATTAATAGGGAATTAATAGATTCGCTTTTGCCTCCCAGATAAATAATGGACTTCTGCTCTCTTTTACCTTCTTGCAAGCTTGGAGAAAGGCTGGTAACAGAAGTAGGGTGGGTAGAACTAATATGGAAAGAATTTAGGAAAATGAACAGAGGAGCCAAATGCTGGGAGTGAAATGGTTGCAACAAAGACTGGTTCCTAACCAAGGGAAGTGGGAATAATGACTCCTAATATTCCTTAAATACTCCTCTGTGTTGTCACACCCTATTTGTCAAGGCCATTTAACTGGCAAACCAAAGATATGAGAATCACACATTTTAGATAAATATATCTCAAATGTGATCTGGCGAGATCCGGTTATGAATGGTGTGAATGAGTTTTTTAATGTTTTTAATTTTTCAATGGTTTTTTTATAATGATTTTTTAAAATGTATTGTGAGCCGCCCTGAGTCCTCGGAGAGGGGTGGCATATAAATTAAATTAAATTAAATATGTAACGTGTGGGTGTAAAAACAAAAATGTTGAAATATTTTAAGTATAAACTCCTAGGAGGTTACTTAAGGCAGAATTTCTTTCAAACACCTCCTCCTCATGGCTCTCACCTCTGAGCTGTCTCGCCTCTTCTCCGGTAAATTAAAGGCCTCCTCTACTTCCTTCTCACCATTTATCGTATTTATTCATCCCACTGCCCAGGTGCCAAAAGGTTGCAGATTTTGCATACCTTGACGCTGAGGTAAGCTTTTATTGGGAAAATACAGTCTTTATATTGCCTAAATAATGAATTAAGGTTGGTTGATTCATCAGTTGGGAATGAGAGGAAGAGAGTAGCTTTGAACCAGAGGATTGGACCTGTCACATCATAATGGCTCTATGCAGTCCCTTAAACAAGGAGATGGCTGAAGAAGTGAGTGCGGCCACAGGGTGGGGTCATACTTTGTGCTAAACTAGAACATGATTTGTTTGCTTTGGGTTTCAAGTTTTATAAAACAATTGTGATTTGACCCAATAAGCCACAGTTACTTACATAGTTACTGCTGTGAAAATAATTATCCAGGGACTTACACAATTCTTTGAGTGGCGAAAGAGACGAGTTATTCCTGTCAGAGCCTGCCGAGCATGATAAAAGAGATTGAGCTTGACTATTTTATTTATTTATTTATTTATTTATTTGTTTAAATTTCTATACCGCCCTTCTCCAATATAGGACTCAGGGCGGTGAACAGCCGAAGATAAAAACAAGACATACATACAAAACATACAAAATCTAAAAACTGATTAAAATAATTAAATCTTTTGGCCGTAATTGAAACAGTTCCAATTTAAAATCAGTTTAAAATTTGACTCAAGCCAATTTGACTCAACCATTTACAAATGGTTGGGGTTTTTTTTTTTTTTTTTTGGTGTTCTCTGATCTTGGTTGTTTTTCTGAATGTGCTTGATTGCCAGGCTGAGTCATATAACTGAGGAGAACATTTTGCATTTGGAACTAAAGTAGTAATTACCAGTAGTGGGGAGTCTGCGGTCTTCATTTAATTCATTTATCAAATTTAGAGGTTGTTCATCTCATTCTCAGAGCGACTCTGTGTTGGCATCATATGGTCCTTAATGATGGGAACAAGTTGTGATCTCGACTAGTTGTATGAATTGTATTACTAATTTGCAGGGGAACCTTTAAAGGCTGTCCATGTAAAGTGTGTTGCAGCACTGTGTTTCCTCGAAAATAAGACCCTGTTTTATATTTTTCTTGAACCCTGAAATAAACGCTTGGCCTTATTGCCATGCGCTCAAAAGCACAATTGGGCTTATTTTCAGGGAATGTCTTATTTTGGGGGAAACAGGTAATCAGTGCAGATGACGATGAAAGTGTGAATTACAGCTGCTAAATCCTCCTGTATTAGGCAAGGTCCCAATTGTGTATCAGCCAAAGCTAGGCAAAGAACCCATCAACCACAGCCTCCACTTGCTGTTTAATAGGCGGAATACAATAAAATAATAAGTTTGAACTCTACACTTGTGAGTCTGGTTGCTTGTGCATGACACAAACTCTTTTTAATCAGCAGCATCTTCTTCATCTAGCCCTAGGATGAAATTTAGCTTCATTTAAGTAGGCAAATCATAAAAATACATTTTTATTAGAATAAATCATCCATGGATAGATTTATTTTGTACCGATCATTCAACGCTGACATTGGAATTTCCATGTCAAAAGATCTAACCAAATGAATGGGACAAATCATTTTTCCAGACATACCATGGAAATTATTCTTCCCTAGATTTAAGATTTTTCCAAACCTTGATACAGTTGCTATTACACATTTATGTCACCTTTTCTTTGATTCACAATCATTCCATGTGTGCCTCTTAAGTCATAACCGTTAACAGATACTGCTGCATGCTGCATATGAGTTTTAGTATAGGCAATACTGAAAATAAAACTAATTATGCAATCATAATATTCTCTCTTTGTCAGAATTCCTCCAAATTTGTTTCTGTAGGAGCTAAGAAAACTGTGACTGCCCATCTATTTGCACTTCATGTACCTGTCCAGGGGTGAAATGTAAAATTTGTTACTACCGGTTCTGTACCTGTCCAGGGGTGAAATGTAAAATTTGTTACTACCGGTTCTACACATTAACCCGGGGGGGTTAATGTGACTGGGTAGGCGTGGCCAACTTTTTTTTTTTTAACTTTTCAAAGCATTTTTTCTAATGCTTTGAAAAGCCTCTGCCAATCAGGCAACTCAGCTGGGATCGTCAGAGAGGCTTTTTAAAAAATACCTCTCTGCTGATCAGGCAACTCAGCTGGGAACTGCCAGAGACTTTTTCAAAGCATTTTTTTACCACCTCTTCGGATAAGAGGTTGGAGAAAAAAATGCTTTGAAAAGCCTTTGATGATCCCAGTTGAGCTGTGCGATCATCAGAGGCTTTTTTTTTTTTTACTTTTAAAATTATTTTTTCTTCGGAAGAGGTTGTAGAAAAAATGCTTTTAAAAGTATATAAAAATAAAAGCCTCTGATGATCATGCGGCTCAGCTGGGCATGGGGGGGGCAGGGATTTTTGCTACTGGTTCTCCGAACCACCTGCCCCCATCACTACCGGATCAGGCGATCCAGTCTGAACCGGGAGCATTTCACCCCTGTACCTATCCAACCCTTATGTCAGAATTATTCTGGTTTAAATCCAAGCCCGGATTGCATAAGAATGACATGGGACTCAGCTGCTTGAAGAGTTTATTCGAGAGCACAGAAACAGCACTGGAGATAGCTACAAGTTGGCTGGTAATAGTTATAGTAGAGGTGGTCCTTTGCGATGTGTGTGAGAATGTGCCCTTTGCAGTGTTTAATTTCGGTTAACATGCAGCTCCAGTGGGAAAGCATTTTATTGTCCAAATATGAATGCAAAGGAGGATAGAAAATTGGTATTTCTTCACTTCAGAAACAGAGGAATGTGGGATGAAGTGATATAGTCTGTCAAATGCATGACTGCTTAGGACATGTCTATATTTTGTTTCTACCTATATAATTTCCTTAAACATTCATCAAGTCAAATAAGTAAAGCAAAAAAGGAAGCAAGATCACTCAGAATTTGGAGATCTTCAGTTTTGTTTAAGAAAATACTTTAAAATCAGTGGGTTTGAAGTTACGTTTATGTCCTCCTTCTATGTCAGGAAGAAATAAATTCATCAGAGTGTTACACCAGTACTTGAAAAAGATATGTTAATATAGATTTGTGAAGAATAGTGCTTGGAATTCCTTTTGCAGTTTACATAAGATGTATAAAACCATGATATTAGAAATGCGATTGCAAATTTGGAAAGATTTGATACTTTGTCATATTTATAGTATGACAAAATCGGCAGCATACAAGGAGAACCATTATAAGGTGTGGTATAGATGGTACCTAGCTCCCTCGAGACTAGCAAAAATGTACCCGAATGTAAATCCTGTTTGTTGGAAATGTAAAAAAGCTCAAACTTTTTTCCATGTTTGGTGGCTTTGCCCAGAAATAAAGAAATATTGGAAAAAAATAAAAACATGGATAGTAGAAATAATAGATCAAGAAACTGAATTAGAACCAGAAGTTTTCTTATTAGGCATGATAAAAAGGAATATTAGAAAAGACATAAAATATTTGACACTACACATAATTACGGCAGCCAGACTTGCTATAGCACAACTGTGGAAAACAGATCATATGCCAACAGATCAGGAAGTAATTCAAAAAATCTACACATGCGCAGAAATGGATAAATTAACTCTAGAATTAAAAGACAAGGAAGACTCAAAATATTTTATAGTATGGAATAGATGGTATAAATGGATAAACCAAAGGAAAAAAGGGTAAAGATAAGAATTAGGGGAAATGCAAGTAATAATAATAATAAAAAAAGCACCGTCAGATAGATAGAACAGGTAAATAAGTCACTGTTTGTATATTTATATATATGTGTTTATATAATCACATGTATTTAGTATGTTAGTGTAACTGTGGATTGAAAATGTAAATTTTATGAGTGAGAAAATTTGTATATTTTCTCTTTTTTTTCTTGTTAATATTTTTAAATTCAATAAAGTTTGTTTTTTAAAATTAAAAAAAATGCGATTGCAAATTTGGAAAGATTTGATACTTTGTCATTCTCTTTTCTCCACATCAAAACTGACCCTGAAAATCTTTTCGAAAGCCACCATAGCACGTTCAGGAAGAATTCTGAAAATAAAAATACAGGAACATTAAATAAAAATCTCAAAATCTACCGTGTTTCCCCGAAAATAAGACCCTGTCTTATATTTTTTTTGAACCCCGAAATAAGCGCTTGGCCTTATTTTCAGGGAGGTCTTATTATTTTGGGGCACATGGAGCGAGGCGGGGCTCCTCTTGCCATCTTACCTGATTTCCAGCTCTGTCTCCCTCACCTGAACCAGAGGAAATGGCGGGAACCGGCTGTGCATGCGTTTAAATATTTTCAGGGAGGTCTTATTTTCAGGGGAGGTCTTATTTTCGGGGAAACACGGTACTTCAATGCAATACCCTGATGTCACTGCTTGGGTTTTTTGTTTTTGTTTTTTGATATGCCACAACATGTATTTTAAAACTAATTGTCAGTGCAGAAATTCAGTCCTTAAGAACCCTGCATACATACATTTCCAGCAGAGGGAACACTGCAACTGAGGATGGTATAACGATCTTCTTTTGATTGCAGAGTACTCCATCCATGAGCCTCTTTGCAACCGCCTCAGGTTTCAGAATAGGTAATAGTCTGGAATTATAATTGTTGATGTTATTAATAGTGAGCTATTAGTTTATTATATTTTAAAACATATGACTGCTGGGTTTTGTGGACTACAGTTATCCGCGATACTGATTCTATCTGCTCAAATACAGTGGTGACAAACCAGGGGTGAAATCCAGCAGGTTCTGGAGAACCGGTCGCAGAAATTTTGAACAGTTCAGAGAACCGGCAAATACCACCTCTGGCTGGCCCCAGAGTGGGGTTGGAATGGAGATTTTGCAATATCCTTCCCCTGGAGTGGGTTGGGAATGGAGATTTTGCAGTATCCTTCTCCTGCCACGCCCACCAAGCCACACCACACCCACCAAGCCACGCCCACAGAACCGGCAGTAAGAAAATTTGGATTTCACCACTATGACAAACCCATGGCCCCAAAGGCGCATGAACACCAGTTCCTCTTTTGCAGCCACCATGATAACTTATTTTTATTTATAGGAATACTTTTGGCCTTGAAAGCGTTTATGAAAGAGGAAAAAAAAGGGGAAGGGAGAGAGAATGATAGTCCAGCGTCTACTTCAGAAGTCTGCATACATTGTCCAGAAAAATAAAGTTGCAAGATGGAGGGAAGAAGCTTCTGGTCATGATGGGGGGGAAAGTTCATCAACTTTCCTCTGGTCACTAAGGTTTACTCTTTCCCAAGGCAGCCATTTTGGAAGAAACTCAAAAATATGCTCTCCAGATTCTGTTGGTTTCAAATGGTTAGCAATGTGCATCTAAACCAGTGTTTCTCAACCTTGGCAACTTGAAGACATCTGGACTTCAACTCCCAGAATTCCCCAGCCAGCATGTTGAAGTTGAAGTCTACATGTTTTAATGTCTCTCAACCGTTCCAAGAAGGCTCCGCACCCATTCGCACTAATCAGGTGACCCTGATGACTCAGATAAACTTCCAGGTGGCCTTAACGACCCTCTGAAAGGAATGGAATTGACCAGCTGTCTGCAAGGAGTATAAATCCTTCAATTCCCCACCATCCAGTCAGAGCTGAAGAAGCTTCTTGGATGAGAAGCGAAATGTCTTCAAAGAAAAACCAGAAAGTCCAGCTACCTTTTGAAAAAGCACCTTTGGGACAACCATGACCTGGATGATTGAGAATCTCCATAGACACATGACTTAAAGTTGCCAAGGTTGGGAAGCTGTTCTATGCTAACTAGACCCATCTTGTCTCTTACCTTGACTGTGGGTTTTTTACAAGCCCCGTGCTTATAAAATATGGACATAAGCAGGTAGTCTTGATCCCATTTTTTCCCAAAACAGATAATTCTTTGGTAAAGCCTTTGTGAAGCCCTATAGCAGCAAACTTGCTTGAACTAAACAGGAGAGGAGAATTAGGGGAGAAAAGAATCTTAATCCTTCTATTAAAGCAGTTAAAACCAATTCAAAACTGTAACAACTGTTGTGGCCCGCCAATGGCCAGCGGAGCTGGCAGCAGGTTCGAACAGTGAGGAGGTTGGGGAGGCAAATGGGCCAGTCCTGGAGTCTGGGGAAGGCTCTGATGAGGGCTCTGCATCGGAGGCAGAGAGGGGGCCAGGGCCGGATGCCAGTTATCAGCTGCCTTCGGAGTCAGACATCAGTGAGGCAGACAAACAACTGGAGCCTGTTCCCAGTGTGCGCATGCACAGAGGGGTCAGACGAAGGGAACAGCTAAAGAACAAGGGTCGACTTGGGAGTAAGGCCACAGGTGGATGATGAAGGGCCCCTCCCAGAGGGAATGAAAGAGGAGTGAAAGGGGAGTGGAGTTTGCAGGAGGCAATTCGTTCGCTTAATTGGTTCGTAACTCTCCATGAAACCTTGCCAAGTTTTGAAGATATCGGCCTGGCAGCTCCCTAAACCAGATAAGGTCTGTGACTGTAAATCACAATCTTGAAAGAATTTGCTGGATGTGAATCAGAAGAATTCACAATAACTTAATAAAAAGGGGTTTTTGTCGGGACAAGAAGTCTGCTTCGTGGTTTGGGGAAGCCTAGGTCAGAACAACAAAAAGATAGGAAAGAATGCAATTAAACCTATACAGGCCCTTCATGGGCTTCCCAGGCCCAAAATTCTGAGGGTTTTCCAGAAGGCCAACAGAATTGAGGCCAACTTCACCTCAGGGGAAACGATACTCCAAAGAATGGGTCCCCCACCAAATGCGCACTGCATGCGCATGCTAAGTGCGCACCAAACGGAGGCTTGGGAAGGTAAGTAGAACAGCGAGAGGGGGAATCAGCTGTGCTGCACGATTTAGCTTCACTAGAAAGCAGGATTTCCTGAACTCCACAGCACAGCTGATTGTCGGAAATACTGGTTTGTCTAAACTGGTAGCTTTTTTTAACTACCAGTTTCCTCGAACCGGTAGTTTTTATCATTACTGGTTCGCCTGAACCTAGAGCGAACTGGTAGCATTTCACCCCTGGTGGGAATGTATAAATCACCATCACTTGACTTAGATCAGGGGTGTCAAACTCGCATGACATATTGTGACTTTTTTCCCCTTTGCTAAAGCAGGCGTGGGTGTGGCCAGCACGTGACGCATCTGGCCCACGGGTCGCGAGTTTGACACCCCTGACTTAAATAAATGCAATAAGTCCTTCAAGAAACTTATGAACAAGCTTACAAAGTGAAGCAACAGAATATGGACCAGAGTTTTATGTAACTCTGATCTGATGGCTTTTTTCTCTCAGGAACTTCAGCAATAAAAGAAAATATATGTAGCTCAGGGTTGAACTGTGGAGTCCTTGGTGGTCCCTGAGCTTCATTGTTTTCTTGAAGATGTTTCATTACCCAGCTACGTAATATTTTTAGTGCTAGAAGGGTGTGGGGTTTAATCTCTGTTTATAATCTACAGGTAGTCCTCAACGTATGACCACAATTGAGCCCAACATTTATGTTGCTAAGTGAGAAATTTGTCAAGTGAGTTTTGCCCCATTTTACAACTTTCCTTGCCACATTTGTTAAGTGAATCACTGCAGTTGTTAAATGAGTAACACAGTTGTTAAGTGAATCTGGCTTTCTTGTTGACTTTGCTTGTCAGAAGGTTGCAAAAGGGGATCACTTGACCCCGGGACACTGCAACTGTCATAAATGTGAGTCAGGTGTCAAGCATCCGAATATTGGCCATGGGGATACTTTCTATCTTGTCTTGCATGTCTCTTTTTAAAAATACCCCATATACCGTATTTTTCGGAGTATAAGACGCACCCGAGTATAAGATGCACCTTAGTTTTTGGAGAGGAAAATAAGAAAAAAGCTGATTGGTGGGTGGATCGGTTTCCCGGAATACCCCCAATCAGCTGTTCCCAGAGGTGAAATTTAGCAGCAGTTTTGTTGGTTGTGAGCTCTGTGCCTTGCTTATTTTACTGCCTCTGAAAGCCTCCAAAACAAAGCTTCAGTAAAAAAGCCTCTGAAACTTCCTTTCAGAGGCTTTTTTTCTGAAGCTTCGTTTCTGATGCTTTTTTCAGCCTTTGAAACCTCCATTTGAGAGGCTATATTCGGAGTATAAGACACACCTAGATTTTCACCCTCTTTTCTGGGGGAAAAAGGTGCTCCTATATTCCAAAAAATATGGTAAATACTCCCATTACAAAATCCTGTTTTATTAGTCTGCCATTATGCCAGCATTTCCTGCACGTCAGAGGGAGGTCAGTATAATTTGCCTCCCAATTCTATTCTCGGAACTAGCATGAAGCAAAAATGGCACAAAAGAGCCATATTAATATTGACACAGTTTCTAAAAAAAACCCCTTCTTTCTCTTTAAAGCTCTTAACGGCATTTTTCTTCCAAAACAAGCTACTTTTTGATTTTAATAGGAAAAAAACACAACTCTTATACTTACCAATAAGGCAACAGAAAAGGAACCGGCACTAGCCCACCAGCTGATGCAACATTGACAATATGACCATGGTTAGTTTTCATCATAGCTGGCAGAAAAGCTTTTATTGTCTGTAATGAAGATTTCACATGTGACCAAAAAAAAAAGAAAGAAAAGAAAAGAAAGTACAACATCTCACATTGTCAGATGGTTACATTTCTGCATTTTTTCATTCAAAAGCACACATACTCTTAAACTGAATAATTCACATGCAAGCTATTTATAAGTAGATGATTTCTCCCCCTTCAATAATCATTGGAAGCAGTGTGAACGTAATAGTTTTATACATACCATGGTGTATGTGATACAGGAGCATTGATGAATACATACGAATTAACTTTCTTAAAATATACTATTTTTTCGTATGCAGTAATTGGACTGACTAGCACTGATGATGTTAACTGGTTTGGGTAATGAAACATCTGCAAGAAAACAAGCTCAGAGAGCATCAAGGACCCACATTTCAACCCTGAGCTACAAATTGTTGTGGCCTGCCAGCAGCCAGCAGATTCGGACAGTGAGGAGGTTGGGGAGGAACGTGGGCCAGTCCTGGAGTCTGGAGAAAGCTTGGACAATGGCTTTGAGTTGAAGGCAGAGAGGGGGCCAAGGCCATCTGGTAGTTCTTTCCTGCCTCCGGAGTGCTCTGACCTAGGCTTCCTGAGTCATTAAAACACAAGAGTAATCACAAAAACCTTTTTTATTGCAACAACTGTGAATTCTGTTCATTCACAGCTGAGTCCCAATTAGTTATAAAGAGTCCTTCGGAAGAAGTCCTTCGGGATAATCACCCACCTTTATCTCCCTTGACATGCTGCCAAAGACCTAATTGGCAAAGCCTCAGGGAATCCAGAATCAGAGCTTCAGGCTTTAAGCTGAACTGAATGAACAAACATTACTTCCTGCAAAGGCCCATGTGCCTTTGCTTCTCTTTTAAGTCTTATGGGAGGGGCCAATCATCTCCCAGCCCTACTCCCGAGTTGTCCCCTTTGTTTTAGCTGTTCTTGCCTTCTGGCAGCTCTGTGCATGCGCGCACTGGGAACAGGTTCCTCTTCCTTGCTGAGGTCTGACTCTGGAGGCTCCGGGGGCAGCACATACTTCTCAGATGGCCCTTTCTCTGCCTCTGATGCAGAGCCCTCGTCTGAGCCTTCCCCAGACTTCAGGACTGGCCCATGATCCTCCCCAGCCTCCTCACTGTCCGACTCTGCTGCCAGCTCCGCAACATGGAGTCTCCGGAGTCTGACATCAGCGAAGCAGAAAAACAGTGTGAGCCTGTTCCCAGTGTGTGCATGCGCAGAGCTGCCAGGAGACAGGAACAATTAAGGAAACAGGGTCGACTTGGGAGTAAGGCTTGGAGATGATTGGCCCTTCCCATAAGACATAAAAGAGAAGCGAATGGGACGTGAGCTTTTGCAGGAAGCAATTAGTTCATCTGGCTGATTCAAGATTTGAAAATTCTGTTTGTGACTCTGTGCCAAGTTTGGCCTTGCCCTGTCTGGCAATTGGCTCTTTGGCAGCGTTCCATGTGAGATAGGTGGGTGTTAATAACTTCCTCTGAAAGACTGTTTGTCAAGCCTTGCGGACTGTAAATGAAAGTAATTTACAGCCGTACGAATTAAAGAGGTTTGCCGGGACTAAATTTGTGCTGTTTACTTTCTAAGGAAGTAGGTCAGAACACAAATATTCTTGTTTATTAGTAATAGGAAATATTTAACGTCAGTCATAGGCTATTTCTTTGATACTAACTTGATCTGGAATTATCTGGCTTTGAGATTTAATTATACTGGGTCTTCTCCCATCCAAGTTCAGACTCGGTTTTTGCACAGTGAGGCCACCATAATAGCAATAGCAATAGCAATAGCACTTAGACTTATATACCGCTTCATAGTGCTTTTACAGCCCTCTCTAAGCGGTTTACAGAATTAGCACGTTGCCCCCAACAATCTGGGTTCTCATTTTACCGACCTTGGGAGGATGGAAGGCAGAGTCAACCTTGAGCCGGTGAGATTTGAACTGCTGAACTGCAGCTAGCAGTCACTGAAGTAGCCTGCAGTGCTGCACACTAACCACTGCGCCACCTCGGCTCTTGAGATAATAATCTCAAGGTTAGAATAGTACACTGAGATCTTTGAGACAGCCCTCAAAAAGAGACTGGATACAGCCATTGGCCTAAAGTATGGTAATACAGATGATGAAGGGCCTTCAAGAGACATTGTAGCAGTGGCCCCCAATCTTTTGGGCGCCGGGGATTGGTTCCGTGGAGAGAGGGGTTTTTTTTTGCAGACTGGAGGGGACGTGGTTTCGCATTCTTCCTGCATCCCGCGGATGGGACTTTGCTTGTTTGTGTGGCCCAGTTTCTGGCATGCCGCAGCCCAGTGCTGGTCCCCAGACAGGGGGTTGGGAACCCCTCCATCAATGGTGAAATCTGGTCGGATCTATCCGGCTCACACGAACCGGTAGTGCTGGCACTGGGAGGCTCTGTCCACCCGCCGGGACGTCATTACGTCCCGTTTTTGACTCTCTGCACATGTGCAGAAGGCTCTGTGCATGTACAGAAGAGGTACATGCGCACAATGTGTTTGCGCTCCCGCGCGGTCCCGTTCCCAAACCGGTAGCAAAGGTAAGTGGATTTCACCGCTGCCTTCTATTATAGTACTGCTGTGCTGAACTGGCAGATGACCCTCATTTTAACCTTCCCCAACATATTTTTAGTTAGGATCATGCTTTAAGGTACTGTAAGCTCAATTAAGCTTGAGCACTGAATTCCTAATATTAATTAAATAGTAAAATTTAAGTTCTCAGTGATACTTACCCAGTAATGACCTAGAATGTTGGTATCATATATTTTTTGTATTTGCTTGTCCGGGGTGGAAAGCAGTTCTCCTGTTGCTGCCACACCGGCATTATTTACTAAAATAGTAACATCTCCAACATCTTTTTTTACCTTTAAGTTAAGAAACAGAAATTATTAAATTTTGCACTGGTTAAATTTGGTTTTCTTCCCCCCCCCTTTTTTTTTTTGGTGCTGCCATACAGATCTTGCACAGACTGAATATTTTAAAAGAAAAAAACCCTGCACATTTACAAGATCAGGCTTGGCATTCTACAGATGTGCTGTAATTCTGTATGTTGTCACTAGAATTTTGGGAGCTGAAGTCTCGACACATCTGGATAGTCATGTCAGTCTGATTTAGAGGGCAAGCGACACAATCAGCCCATATGTACAACGATTATATGAAGAAACTATATTTGTAAAACCGAAGCCCCTTTTTTTTTTTTTAAATTTTGTTGGCTCCTTGCTGGACTTGAACTAATTGCCAGGACCTGCTGCCTTAGCAGACTGAGGAAAATACTCAGGGATGATTCGCACCCTGGTCAGCACTTCTTTACTCTCCTACCATCGGGCAGGAGATATAGAAGCATAGCCAGACGAACGAATAGGCTGAAAAATAGCTTTTATCTGTGGGCTGTCAGACTTCTGAACGCAACGTAACATCATAATTAGGTTTAATATGATAGTCTTGCAGGACCAGTGCAACGTGCAACATGTTCATACCGATGTAATATAGTATAATGTTATATATACTGCTCAAAAAAATAAAGGGAACACAAGCAGAAGACACCCGAGATCTGAATGAATGAAATAGCCTCATTAAATACTTTGTTCGTTACATACAGTAGTTTTGTGGTCCCTTTAGGTGTTTGAGCAGTGTATAAACTACTGTATGTAAAGAACAAAGTATTTAATAAGGCTATTTCATTCATTCAGATCTCGGATGTCTTCTGCTTGTGTTCTCTTTATTTTTTTGAGCGGTGTACATGTATATGTATATGGGAATCAGTGGTGGGTTGCCCCCGGTTTGGACCGGTTCACAAGAATCGGTAGTAAAACCGTCGGGAGGCCCAGTCCACCGCCCCAGATGTAGTCATCGGCGATCTGCGCATGCGCACAGATCCCATTGCAAACCGGTAGTAAAGGTAAGTAGAACCCACCCCTGATGGGAATGTGTGCTAGGTATTACTTATTAATTACTTATTATTTAATTACTTATTATTCAACCGCAATAATAGATACAAACAATAGATACAAATTCAAGGTAAACCGCTCCAAACTCGACTGCAGAAAATACGACTTCAGCAACAGAGTGGTCAATGCCTGGAATGTACTACCTGGCTCTGTGGTTTCTTTCCCAAACCCCCAAAACTTTAACCTTAAACTGTCTAATACGTAAGATCCCCGACCTCCGGGTGTTTCGCTGCACACTAAAGACCCTGTTGTTCCGCCAGGCCGGGCTATTAACATAACGATTTTAAATTGGGGTATTTTAAATTTCTGGGATTTTAATTGGAGCCTAATTATTTAATGATTTTAAATTTTAATTGTTGTTTTGTTCTGTGTTTTTAATAGGCTGTACACCGCCCTGAGTCCTTCGGGAGAAGGGCGGTATAGAAATAAAATTATTATTATTATTATCATTATTATTACTGTCAACCTCACACCATTCCTAAGAGGTCTGTAAAGGGCGTGCATAAGCACACCAGAGTGCCTACCGTCCCTGTCCTATTGTCCCCATTTATTCGTACTCATTTCCTGTGTTCATGTCCATGTTTATACATGTTCATGTGTTCATGTCCATGTTTATATATGTTTTCTCGTCCATGTTTGACAAACTAAAAAAAAATAAAAAATTGGATTTTGCCTGCATCCTGCAAATGGGGGTTCGCTTGTTTGGGTGGCCTGGTTTCTGGCATGTTGTGGCTTGGTGCCGGTCCACGGACCGGGGATTGGGAACAACCAGGACAAAAAGCCTTCCTCAGAGTAAAGATTATGCTCGTGGCTGGCATTTTACGTTGCAGCATGACAACTATTTCCTTTTTAATTAAAAGAATTTGTAAGGCATGCGGTGAGGGTCATGGAAAGTGTTTGTAGGCACAAAAGCAACTCCTCCCTCCACATGATGGACAGCAAATCTAGCCAGTGCTGGAACTCTCCATTCACACAATATAGTTTGCACCCATCTATAAGATTTTTGAAATATTAATATATATCTATACCAGGGGTGAAATCTAAAATTTCTTACTACCGGTTCTGTGGGCGTGGCTTGGTGGTGGGGGGTAATGTGACTGGGTGGGCGTGGCCAATTTTTTAAAAAAAACGTTTAAAACCATTTTTTTCTACAATCTCTTCGGCTAAGAGGTTGTAAAAAAATGTTTTCAAACGGCTCTGACGATCCCAGCTGAGTTCCCTGATCAGCTTTAAAAAAAAGCCTCTGCCGATCAGGGAATTCAGCTGGGATCGTCAGAGCATTTAAAAGAAAAAAAGATTTTTTTCCTTTTAAATGCCTTTGACAAGCCACACGATCATCAGAGGCTTTTTTTTTAACTTTTAAAAGCATTTTTTCAGCTGTAGTTGTAGAAAAAATGCTTTTAAAAGTAAAAAAAAAAGCTTCTGATGATTGTGCGGCTCAGCTGGGCATGTGGGGGGGCAGGGAGGCGGGGATTTTTGCTACCGGTTCTCCGAACCACCCACCTCCATCGCTACCGGATCGGGTGATCCGGTCCGAACTGGGAGCATTTCACCCCTGATCTATACTGAGTAAAAAATGAAAAAAATACCAATACCCAATTTGGAAAAACTTTGATCACTATTATTTGTTATTGTAACTATATCATACTGAATAGGAGGGAAAAAAGCAGTCTCTATGCTCATTAGAATGTGATCATCTTTTTTCTTAAAGCTTGTTTTCCAAAACTTTATAAAAACCAGGGGGAAAAACACAGACATTTACTGTACAGATTTCTCACTTTCTCAGCCGCACTGTAGATTTCCTCTTTCAAACTGCAGTCCACCACATAAGGATATGCTTCGACTCCCAGCTTTCTGCAGTCTTCAGCTGTTTCCTCTAGGCAACTCTACAAACAGTAAAAAGGATAAATATCATTCGCTTCTTTGCGTTCTGCTAACAAAATATTACTGAATCAAAGAAGGGAGGAAAAGGTTATTACAGTCTCAGCAAGATCATAGTTCCAGAAGTTAAAGTTTATCTATGACCAGTATTCTGAATTGACCAGTATTCAAATATTCTGAAGGGTCACGGATTGGCTTCACTGAAAGGATGCTTGCCTTCTACATGGACTAGAGCAGTGATGGTGAACCTTTTCGGCACTGAAAGCTGGCTGAGGCGGGTGGCTGGAGGAGAACTGGGTGCGGCCAATGGTGGGAGCCTAAAGGTCCCATTCTGTTGGCCACTATGCATGTTCCATTTTCATCAGGGGATTCATTGTGTCTTGGGACACAAGGATGATTTAGAGCAATGGTGCCCCAACCTTTCGGGCACCAGGGACTGGTTCCGTGGAGAGGGTTTTTTTCCGTGGAATGGAAGGGGTGTGGTTTTGTGTGCTGCCTGTGTCCCATGGATGGGGACTTTGCTTGTTTGAGCGGCCCAGTTGCTGGCATGCCTCGGATCAGTGCTGGTCCACAGACTGGGAGTTGGGAACCCCAGATTTAGGATCATGTAGTCTTAGTATGATCACCTATAAAATTCTATTCTAATGTATGGAGCATTGAGAATCATTTCAAATTTCCACAGATGTGCCTGGCCTGAATAGCTTCTATTGGAAGGAACTGAGTCATCCCTTGAGATCAGTAATAAAAGTACCATCAATAAAATCATTTGTTTCCTGTTTCAGTGTGATTGTAATCTTGGAATGTCTCAAACTAGTTCATAATGTTGAACAACACAAGGCATTCTAAGTGTTCTTGTTAAGCATGTAGCAGGAAGCCAGGGACCCACATATGTATTTAATCTATTTAATTAACACCTTTTGCTCACTGAATACTACATTGTCTAAATAATTTATTTTCTCTGGCTTCTTACAGCCCACTAATCAGTAGTTCTAGAAGGTAATATTTGACTTAGAGGTGAAGACACCATTCAGGTTAGAACATAGAATAATAGAGGTGCTGGGGCATCCCAACACCGACAGCATGGCAAGAGATAAGATATTTTTCTTTTGTGAGCTTCTGTTTCGTCATTTGCAGGGAAATAATAACTTTATTGTCATAATAATAACTTTACTGTCATTGTATGTGTATACACAGTATACCCATACAACGAAATTCACTTAACACCCAAAGACCAAGTCCAACACACATAACAATCCCCAAACACACTCCCACCCACCACAACTCCCTACTCCTAAACCACCCAAACATCCACACAACAGACCAAGTAATGCTGTCCAACAGCTCGCTGATGGTGGCCATTTAGTTCACCCGGCCGCGCGGGTGGTGATGGGAGCGACGTGGCGCTCCCATGTAATGCCTCTCCTGCGCGAGCTGCACTGGCTCCCGGTGGTCTTCCGACTGCGCTTCAAGGTTTTGGTTATTACCTTTAGAGCGCTCCATGGCTTAGGACCTGGTTATTTACGGGACCGCCTGCTACCACCAATAGCCTCCTACCGACCAGTACGCTCCCATAGAGAGAGGCTCCTCCTGGTGCCGTCGGCCAAACAATGTCGACTGGCGGCCCCCAGGGGGAGAGCCTTCTCTGTGGGGGCACCTACTATCTGGAACGAGCTCCCCCCGGAGATACGGAGGATCCCGGATCTGCGCACCTTCCGCCACGCGCTCAAGACGTTCTTATTTCATCAAGCTAGCCTGACCTAAGTTTTTTTCCCCTTTTTAAATGGAAATTTTAAATTTGGTTTTAAATTATTGGGGTTTTAAAATTCAGCCAAATTATTTAATTTGTTTTATTCTATTTTAAACTTTGTATTTATATGTTTTATTCTATGGCTGTTCACCGCCCTGAGTCCTTCGGGAGTAGGGCAGTATACAAATTTAATAAAATGAAATGAAATGAAATTGTTGAGTGCAATTATAACTCTGGGATAAAAACTATTCAGAAAGCGTGTGGTCCGAGTTTTAATTGTTCTGTATCTTCTGCCAGAAGGCAACAGTCCAAAAAGATTGTAAGCAGGATGGGAAGAGTCTCTGAGAATGTTATGCAACTTCCTCAAACAGCGAGATTTGAAGATGTCGTCCAGGGCTGGTAGCTGAAGTCCGATGATATTCTGGGCAGTTTTAATGATTCTCTGTAGAGCTTTTTTGTCCGCTACAGAGCTTCTCCCATACCAATGCTAGAATGCCGTATGTCAGGACACTCTCAATGATGCTGTGATAGTAGGACAGAAGTAGATGCTGAGATAGATTGATCTTCCTGAGCATTCTCAGGAAGTACAGCTTCTTCTGTGTCTTCTTCACAAGCATATTAGCATTCATAGTCCATGAGAGGTCCTTCGAGATATAAATCCATGAGGTCCTTCTAGAAACAAAAGCTCACGAAAGAAACGCCACAGAGATCTGACCTGGGGCAGTAGCTACAGGTTTGATTGAACCGGTAGTTTAAAAAACTACCAGTTCAGTTGACTGGTAGTTAAAAAAAGCTACTGGTTCCTACGAAGCGGTATTTTTGACGATCAGCTGTGCTGGGTTTAGTTTTGCTAGAAAGCAAGAAATCCTGCTTTCTAGTGAAGCTGAATCGTGTGGCACAGCTGATCCCCCCCCCTTGCTTTTGGTGTGCCTCCTTTTGGTGTGCATTGCACATGTGCACGCAGTGCAAGTTTGGCACGCAGCGCGCATGCGCAGCCAGCAAACCGGTTCAGATTTCATCACTGCTACAGACGTACATTAAGAACAAACAGCAGCAGTCCAGTCACTCCTGTGCTTCAAAAGCCTGCCTGAATGAAAGTACAGGTAGTCCTTGACTTACAACAGTTCGCTTAGTGACCGTTCGAAGCTACAACCGCAGTGAAAAAAGTGACTTAGGACCGTTTTTCACACTTATGACTGTTGCAGCGTCCCCATGGTCACGTGATTTACATTTGTGTCAGCTGGACAACTGACTCACATTTATGACGGTTGCAGTGTCCTGGGGTCCTGTGATCCCTTTTTGTGACTTTCAGACAAGCACAGTCAAGGGGGAAACTAGATTCACTAAACAATCATGTGACTAATTTAACAGCTGGAGGGATTCACTTAACAAATGTGGCAAGAAAAGTCTTCACGTGCGGCAAAGCTGACTTAACAAATTTCTCATTTAGCAGCGTAAATGTTGGACTCGATTGTGGTTGTAAGTCGAGGATTATCTGTATTTTCACAGCCTTGTGAAATATCTGAAATGAGGAGCTTGGGTGCACTTTATGTTTGAATGTAAATTCTTGATTTACTTAAAAAAAAAGAGCATGTACAAACAAAATGCAACAACACGGCATACTGCTTCTTGTAAAGAATTAAAATCAAGAATATAAGAACACCACAGAAATGTTTTCCTGAATAGGGACAAAGGTTGCATTGGTACTGGATGAGCTGGTTCAAAGTCTTTATTGCATGTAATAACAGAATATCAGAGTTGGAAGAGACCTTTAGACTTCAGGAAGGAGATCCTATATGCCAGTGATGGCTAATCTTTTTGCCATCGCATGCCAAAAACGGGGCGAGTGCAGAGGATCACGTGCGCAGGTTCCCACACCCATAATTCAATGCACCCCGGGCCCCCCCGCATATGCACGTTTGACCCTTCCACGCTCCCGCTTTTTTTTTTTTGCTTTAATTTATATGCCGCCCTTCTCCGGAGACTCAGGGCGTCTTACAATGCATTAAGCAATAGCCTTCATACTTTTGTATATTTATACAAAGTCAGCTTATTGCCCCCACAATCTGGGTCCTCATTTCACCTACCTTTGAAAGGATGGAAGGCTGAGTCAGCCTTGAGCCTGGTGAGATTTGAACTTGCAGTAATTGCAAGCAGCAGATGTTAATAACAGTGCTTTAGTCCACTGTATTACAGGCTTTTGGCACACGATGGCCCGGTAGGCCTGTTTTTCACCCTCCCCAGGCTTCAGAGGCTTTTTTGGAGCCTGGGGAGGGCAAAAACAGCCTTCCCCACCCGGAGGCCCTCCGGAGGCCGGAAACAACCTGTTTCCTGACTTCTGGTGGGCCTGGAAAGCCTGAAAATCAGTTGCCCGACATGCACATGCATGCTGGACCTGAGCTGGGACAACGCTCACATGCCCACAGATATGGCTCCACGTGCCACCCGTGGCACGCGTGCAGTGGTGGGATTCAGCCAGTTTGCACCACTTCGGGAGAACCGGTTGTTCTTTCTGAGCATTTTGGCAAACTGGTTGTTGGAAGAAATCATTAGGGCAGAGAACCGGTTGTTAAATTACTTGAATCCCACCACTGCACGCATGCCATAGTTCACCAACACGGCTATATAAAATTTCAGACACGTGGCTGTCCAGTCTCTTCTTTTTTTTATTATTATTAAACAGTTTTTTATTAAGTAAACATTAAAAACATTGGACACAGTGTAACCATCCTGGTCTTGTCACATCCATACATATTTTTAACATAACAACAAATATAATTACTATTTAACATACGTTGCTACTTTGTTCTTATAAACATATATCCCTTGTCCTCATTTACATATTTGTCTAACTATTGTCCAGTTCTATGAACCCTTAATCTTTTTTTTTGTTCCAACTCCTTTTCTCCTTTCCAACCATTGGTACACTTTGTTCCAAATTTTATAGTATTCTGTCTCATCCTTGTTTTTGAGTTCTAGGGTCAGCCTGTCCATGTCTGCACATGTCAAGATTTTCTTTATTATTTCTTCTTGGAGCATCAATCCAAGTTTTGGGGGACCTTTTTGTACGGTCTCTACATTATTTTTACAATCCCTCCCTCCCTCCAGACTTTTTATAAAATAGAAAGCAACCTGACACAGGTCCAGATATATTTTTCTTAGTGCTGATTAATGTGAGGATGGTTACTTGATTTATACTTTTTACTAAACTGTGCCGAATACTAGGTAAACATATTTTATGCCGTTTATTTAAAGTCTGAAATAAAACAAGTATTATTTCTGCGAATTAGACACCCTTATTTCTACAAGCTGCTTTCCTATTTTCCAAACATAACAGAAAGTGTACTGTATTTCCGTTGAAACTGGTCCCACAGATATCTTTAGATATCTATAGAATAAGCCTTTTGCTTATTCTTCTTTCTCTCCCTCCCTTCCCTCCCTTCCCCCCCTTTTTTTCCTATCTTGTTTATTCATTAATTCTAATGTAGAATCATTGCCATACCTTGTTTACATCCCAGAGGACCAATCGGCTTCCATGTTTGGCAAATTCAAAGGCGGTGAGTCTTCCGATGCCGCTTGCAGCTCCAGTGACAAGGACAATTTCACCAGCCACAGATTTTCTCTTCACAGGAATAAAACATTTCACCAAAGCTTCAATATAACAATAGGTTGCAAAGACTGCAAACCAGAGGATATGGAGTACGGTATGCATTCTTGCTTTCTTCTACAAATGTGATGTGACAAGACTGTTGGGAGGACTTCGGAATAATCTGCAATAGGCTATTCACCTGCTGAGTAGAGTTCATGGAAAACTCCACCCTATGCAGATCCACTTACAAAATAAAGCAGGGGTGTTAATACATCTGCTCTTTGAAGTTTATAATAACAAGCCTGTTGGCAGAGAGATGTCACTAGGTATCCTTTTCAAGCAATCCTTTTTCTTTCAGCAGTCCCGACGCACAGAATTTTATAATAGGATACAGGATAATATTATTCAATTTTTCCATTCCTTCTTCCATTAAAAAAAAAATACAGAATAGCTGCACAGTAGTTTTTGAATTAGAAGGAATAGCAGCTGTTGGGTAAAACTGAACAGTAATATATTTAGGATTTTTTTAAAAAGGAGGAAGTTGTTCTGTATACTGTATTTGTCACCTTGAGTTGTTTTTAAAAACAATAAAAGGCGGGATATAAACAAATGAATAAATAAATAAACCAACAGAACGTATTTGCATAAAATGGAGAGATGGCAGTTGTTTGTAAAACAGGATTAATCAAACAGATTTTTTAAAAATAATGACAACTAGTCATAACGGTAATATAGAATCACACAGAATTTTTTCCCTTTTCCTCCTTAATGGTGCTTTCACCCCTTTTGTGGGACTTTTTTCTGATATTCAGTGGAAATGTCCCTACCCATCCTTAAGTTGGCAAATAACTAAGGATAAAACCTGCTATTTCCATTATTGATCCTGATCCTGCCTTTATTGCCTCTGTTCTTGGATCCGGTCAGACTTCTAACTTCCTTCCATATAACTGGTTGAAAACCCAACATGCGTTATGCCCCTTCAGGCTGTTTTTGGATAGAAATAGCATGAAGAGGATAAACTAATTTACTATTGGAATAATTTAAAGGTGCCTCAGAAAATAAGACCACATCCTGAAGACATGGTCCAAACAAAAATGCCACCAGACCATATCTATGCCACGGTTTGATGCAAGTGGGAAATGAATAGTGGATTTAACTGTCCTTAGAACCCATCACGATCTGGATGGAACAACAACAAAAAAAAATCCAAAATTGCTGTGCTTTAGCAAATATTCACAATTTGGAACAGCAAGTGATTCAGAAGGAGGCACTTTGTCTACTAGCAGATCAGCCCTGCCCCTGCAGAATAACCCTCATTCTGAAATCACTGCCTTGGTTACCATTAGATTTCTGGGTCAAATTCAAAGTTATAAAGCTCTAATTGTCTCCCTTCTGGTATGACGCAAAACTTATTTCATCCTGCCCTAATTCATTTTTGTACACCTTCCTCAAGTAGTTTGATTTGGTTTGGATATGCACTTTGATTATGCAGCCCAGTAGCTCACGATTCCAGGTAAGCCTCTGTAGGGAAATAATAATATAGAATATAAAATACTGATATGCTAAGTTTAGTAAAAGCTTGTTATTCTGTAATCATTAGGTTCCTGTAACATATAGATTGTGCTTTTTGTATCACATATATTATTCCTTTCTATTTGTATCTCCTGTTACAAACATATTGTCATTAGGCCTCTGAAATGTATCTGGTATTTGTCAAACATATGTCCCTGCCATTTGACCTGAACTTATATCAATCTCTTTCTGTGCCACCTAAAACATGGTACGTATCTGTTGGAACTCCAGCCATCAACAAAGGGGTAATTTACATCTCAATTCTAATTTATGTTTGATCTGGATAAGATCTTGTCTTCAGGAGCCAGGCGCTAATTAAGTAAGCAAAGCCAATTAAGTAAACAAAGATAAGACTAATTGGAAGTTTAGATTCCTTTGCAGGGCAACAAAGAATACACAAACATAAATTAAGGGGCCAGAATTGGGGATCTAACTGATGCTTTAAAGGTATAAAACGTGGTTACATCTTCTCTGAAGATGTGAATCCTCCCATATACATATCTCTTTGTATGTGTTTGGAATGGTTTTACCCAGCCTTTTGTCTTTGATCAAAGATTAAATGTTGATTCTTATTCAAGCCTCCATTTAAGTCTTTCTTTTTGGTTCACTGAGAGCTTAAGCGTATAGCCGGACCTTACACCTCCTACAGAAAATTCTTGGGGAAATCCGAAGGCCCAATAACAGCAACAGGTCAACAATTCATTCAGTAGCAATCTGAGGAAAAGAAATTCAAGTTTCCAAGCGGGTGTCCAAAGGGCTACACTGGTTTTGATGGCCAGGCATCCCTTACTGGCAAAACAGAAGTTTGATTTGACAGTTGAATTGCTCCAAATTACAATCTTTTGATATCGCTGGGGAATCCTAGGAGTTGAAGTCCACATTTCTTAACAAGTTTGAAAACACATCGCCGAGTCTGAAAAACAGTTATAGTATTTATTTATTTTTTTAAGAATAGAATTTAGAATAGAATAGAGCTGGAAGAGAGCTTGGAGGTCTTCTAATCCATAAAAAAATTATTTTTTAATTAAAAAAATATAAAAAAGGATTATACTTTTTACTTATATTTATACTTATATAAGTATAAGTTACTTATTTATATAAGTAAAATACTTATATTTTACTTATATACTTATAGATTGTACTAGATTATAATAAAAACTGAGGAGCATTTTTAAAAAAAGTTGAAATAAATGAATCAATGGAGTCCAATTTGAATCCAATTAGAAGAAACACGAATCGCCTCAGTGGATTTTTTTTTAAATAAAAAATTCGGATTTTTACGATCAGAAATGATGGCTTTCAGGAATAAAGTCTGAATTTATAAGTCCAGGAAACGTCAAACCGTTTCTATCTCCGCGGGTTGCATAGATGTCTCCTTCTCTTCGCATATTTTTTGTATAGAAAATAATTTCAAAACGGCATTTTCTCCAACATAACGTCATTAAGGCGCGACTCTATTTCTTTTCTATCTCTATGGCTGAGGAAGAAAATTGAGACGGAGGCATAAAAAGATCGGCTCGCCTACAGGCAGTCACGTGCTCCTCCTCCGTCCAATCAGAAATGTTATCCCCCGTGACGTAACGTTTTGCGACGAGGCTCGAAGTGAGACGGACCACTGGGGCGTTTTTAATTACGATTGCAAGTGGGTGGGCCGGGACTAAAGAGAGTCGGAGGATGATATCTTTCGTCTTATTGGCGAGAATCGGTGTCTTTTATAGCTCCGCCTCATCAAGTGAAGGGAAGTAAAGCCACTGGGTAAGAGAAGGCGCTCAAGCATTAACCAATCACGAGACAGCGGTTTGTTTGAAGGCGGGATCAACGTGACAAGGAAAAGGAAGGAAATTGGACGGTGAGTTTGGAGGAAGGAAGGAGTGGGCTGGAAAATTCATTCATTCTCCCCCCCATTATAATTACCTTGTTTATGGAATAATAAACATATTATATGAATATATTATCCAATCTCATATATATATATGTGTGTGTGTGTTTATGTATATGTATACTGTGTATATGTATGTATATGTACATATATATATATATGTACATGTACATACATATACATACATACACACACATCATAATCATAAGTTTATTTGTCAAGCATATATGAGATAACAGGTAAAAGTATAAACATAATTTGAATACATGAAAAGAGTAAGTAAAAAGGAATATTAGGACAGGGACGGTAGGCACGCTGGTGCACTTATGTACGCCCCTTACAGATCTCTTAGGAATGGGGTGAGGTCAACAGTAGACAGTTTAAGATTAAAGTTTTGAGGGAGATATCTATTTATCTATCTATTTATCTATCTATCTATCTATCTATCGATATAGATACACACACATACACATACATATACATGCATACATACATACATACATACATACATACATACATATATATATCACACAGAGAGATGTTTATGTCTATATATTACATAGTGCTAAGCCGGGTCTGCTTGAATAACTATCGTTAGGTTTGCACAATGCATTCAGCCAAAAAACCCCAACCCACATTATGTTGCCTGAACTCGGCCCTTGTTATATCCCACTTTTTCTAAGTCTTTTAAGGTGATGGCCATCTAGTTCCTTTTTCTCTCTCCAGTTTTTACTTCACAACAGCCCTGTCAGGTAGATTATACTGGACGTAATAGTTTCCTTAGGTTATCCAGCATGCTTCCTACCCGGGTGATTTAAAGCAGCATAGCTGAGTATTCTTACCCCACGTAAGTAAAATATAAATAATAGTCTGCTTACTTATAGAGGTGATGAGTGAAAAGTCAGGATAAAATGATGATCTTGTTTATTTAGGAACATTCAATAGAGGTGGCAAAGTATAAGAAATGTAAGCAAAGCAAATATAAGTAAAATGCAAGTGAGATAATACGTTTCTTGAAAAAAAAGGCTAAAATGGGTTGGAGGTGTAACCGCCATTTAATTTTCAGGATTATCATAGGAATGGACAGCTGTAAAACTGACCATAATTTCATGTATTATATCTTGTTCATTTATTTTAACCATACTGTATTAATATTATTTTAATTTGATTCTCCTACCTGGTAATGATTGATATTACCAGGTAAAAGGAGAAGTTGAATGTAAAGAAATATTGTATTGAACCATGGAGAAATACACCAATGAACTATGAAGCAAAAGAATAGTATTCCTAATATATTGTTACTAGAAAATTTTGGAACATATTATTACATTCTCTAGTATCGCTATAGTTATCTATTTTCTTAATTCATACATTTTATTGAGGTATATTAAATATTGAGGAATTTGGTATTAAATTTGGTAAGCATTTTCAAAAACCAGCTGTGTTTCTTAACTCAGTTGACAGTACAATATTAAAATATAAAAAAGAAACAGTTGTCATTAATTCATATGTATTGCAATATCTTCAGATGTATAAAACTATGAATTTGGGAAGCAAATTGACAGAAATGATCAGCAAAGGGGAGAAACTTTGAATTAGGGTCTGTAGCTGAACAGAATAGGCAGCTTGTATCCCGACTTGTAATATATACATTATAGTGATAATCATTTTATCTTGTAGGCGATGAAGAAGTGAAGACAGCATATATCACATCCATTTTTTTTCTGGTTTGGTGTCCATGTTTTTCTACACGCACTTGGTGTTTCATTCTGAAGAAGCCAGCTTCTTGTGAACTCACTACATGGAATGGCAAGAAGTTTCCTACCCCAAACCATTAC